CAAGCCCATACAGATCCCTTCAGTGGGAACCTATGGTAACTCATAACCCAGGTAGTGATAAGTTTCTGTCTTTTCAACTGATACATAGTCAGTTTGAATTATACTTCCTGCTATAATTTATCCTTCTCAGTTCTCTGATGGCATTGAAGGTTAACTGTAGCTTTGTTACTTTTGCAGCAACAAATAAATAGCTCTTTCTTAAGGCTAATAGAGCAGTTCATTCCATAGGTAAAGTCAGGCCTCACTTCATTGTGGAGCAACTGTGTCCCCAGCTGGAAAGACAAACACAGTTTATTTGCTGGTAGACTTTATGCTAAAGGAGATAAAATCATAAAACAGGTTTCAACGTAACTTTTTAAAATTCCTTTATATAAGCAATTGCTTTATGATGACTGCTCTCATTAATCAACCACCTGTATCTCATGGTAAATGACTAGATATAAGGAAAAGGTTTTAAGTTTGTGCACATTGTGAGGATCTAAGAAAATGTGTTAATGTGGGTAAATGCAAGGTGTAAAGGTCTAAAAAAGTGATTTAAGGTATATAAAAAATGAAAAATGTTTCAGATTTCTTTCCTTCTCACTATATTGTTATATTAAGACTTAAAATGTTCAGAACTTTAATATTAATCAGCTGAGTACTAATAAGCTATTAATATAATCCTGGTAAAGCACTGACTGCCATTATATCATAAGTTCAGAAATTTAAATTTCTTTTGGTTGTCTTCTAAGTATAGATTTAAAAGTGTTTCTGATCATGCTAAAAATATCACTGTCCAATTTATATAAATCCATCTCTCTAGACAAAGAAGGGAGTATTAATGCTTTTAGCCCAGACTCATTTCTTTGGGTCCCCAGGCTTTTACTGCGACTCAAAGACATGAATCTACTGCTTTTTATGTGGATTTCAGTACAGATTACAAACATTGATAATGTGTCTAAAACTTTTTTGGTAAACTTAAAAAATTGATGTAATCTCATAGGAAGTCAACTTCTGTAAAGATCCACCGCTCATTTTATGGACTCCAGATAAGTACTCCTGTCAATCAACAGCCAGACCTCCCTGTTCTTGAAGGTGGGATCTTCTTCTTCCCCTGGTCTTTGGAGATTAGATTCAGAGTTTATGCTTTGAAAAGAAAAAAGGGGGAGTACTGTGGGATAATGATCTTGTACCCTGTAAAGATTTGTCACTTGTGTCAGTTTTTTAAAAAAATGTTTTTTGGCCAGTAGTCAGGCAGGAAGTATAGGCTGGGCAATGAGACTAGCAGAATTCTGGGAAGAGAGAAGTCTCAGTCTGCAGTCGCCACCCAGGCACAGAGGAAGCAAGATGAGAATGTTCCACTGAGAAAAGGTACCAAGCCACATGGCTAAACATAGACAAGAATTATTGGTTAATTTAAGTGATAAGAGCTATCTAATAATAAGTCTGAGCTAATAAGCCAAACAGTTTATAATTAATATAAGCCTCTGTGTGTTTTTTGGGACTAGACAGCTGAGGGACCATGAGGGACAGAAACTTCCATCTACAAATCCACCCCTGCCCCCAATTCCAATTTCCAAGACCACAGGCCTGACTGTTCCAAATGTATACCCAAGATAAAAATACTTCCCTAAACTCCTTAACTTTACCTCTACCCATAATCTATCTATGAATGAGTAGATTTCCAATCAAACGAAGACTGAAAACTGTTCCAAAATTGCAGCCCTACATGTTTCTGAAGGAATTTCTGCCTAGCCTGAGCCCCTGTGTTCTGCTCCAAAGCTGCCTGTACTTCACTAGCCCCAGATGATCTCAAGGGACCTGGGCAGCGAACAAAACAGATGTTCCCCCAGGCTACAGCTTTCTTTCGAGTTCTTTCATTGTAATTCCAGCCAAGCAACCTGCTCCCCAACAATGCCCCAATTTCAGCTCAGAAGCACTTATAGAAGAAAATATATTGTCCCATATCATCAACACAAGGCAGAAATTGTATGACTCAAGATATAGGGGACAAATGGCTAACTGATGTGCCTACCGACATGTCAAATGAGACTCTGGAGGCCAGTCTTTCTCACCATTACAAGGCTCTGTGGCAGAGTCCTGGCTGCTCTCAGTTCTTCTCCCCTCCACCCCTATCCTAAACCTCTCCAGCCCCTGGGCTTCACTTTCCTTCCCCCAGCTTCTCTTTCCTATATAACTCAGCCAGTTTTATTTACATGCTCTTATGGTTCTTTTCTCTTGGATCCATTGCTGGATCTCACTCTCTCTGTGTTTTTCTCTCTCCCCTCTTCTATTTCTCTCTATCTTTTCTTCCTTTCTCACTCTCCCATCTCTCTTTCTTCTCAGTCTATTCTGATGGCCAAGTTCATTCTGGATATACCCAGATGCCTCTGACTGAATTATTTCACATATCTACAAAGAAACAGCCACAACAAGAAACCTCCCCAACCATACCTAGGAGTGGTCATGTTCTTCTCATTTTCACTCACTACCTACAGGCTGGTTCAATTGACCTCTGCCCCAATCCTCCAAAAATGGACAACCATCTCTACCACGAAGGTCTGCTACTCCTTATAATAACCTAAACTTCATTTTTTGTAGGGAACAGATGAAAATGCTCATTCAATTATGGAAACCAAGATTTTATTGTTCTTTTTGATGCCTCCCAAGTTAATTTTTATTTGCTTTTGGTCTCCCATATTAAACACAATTATCCTCTTTTATAGGACAGATGTTACATCATTACTCCAGCGATAAGCTTCTACAATACCCACAGCATGCCTCTTTTGTTGTTCCCATAGTTTCTTCCTCTTACCCTTTGCCTGCTTCCCTCACACTTTTTTTTTTAAACATGGGATACAGTCCAGTAAATGCTAGGTCACTCTGTCTTGCTACATTTGCTGTTCTAGGAGTTTCTCACATGTTCAAAACAAATAACAAACCTAAATCCCTCCAGAGTACTCCTGTGTGTCTCTCTAACTCTTCTTGATATCCTCTGATGTTCTATGATTATTTCTGTCAACTAGCTGGTACTTCAGCCTCCTGACCCAACGTTAATTGTACTTAATGCAAAGGCAAACTTGGGGTTCACAATGTCATCGAATATCCCCCAATGATAATCCTTAATGTCTCTCTAGGTGATGATAAGTATTCTTCTGTAAAGGCATTGTGCAGGATCCTCCTCTCATTATGACTAATAATTTGCATCCCTGGGTTTGTTGCCCTGGTCACTCCTTTGCATCACCTTTGTTCCTCTGTCCCCAGAGCACATTCAGCACTTGTGTGGGGCATTGTCCCTCAGCACACCTCCACTGCCCGACGTTTAGCCCATGGGATGCAGCTTCGAGCACAGCTTCCTTTCTCACCCAGCTTCACCCTCATCTCAACTTGAATCCCAGAAACTGAACCATCCTGGGCCCTGCTATGAAAGTATGGGTGATTCACAGCACCCACACGATACCAGGGTCTCTCACTGGGACTGAGAGGCAGCACCAAGCTTCCTCCCCACCCCAAATTCACCTTCCCAAATATAATATGATGAGGTCCCATTAAGTGTGAATGTGTTTAAAGACACTGAACTCTGCACTTAAATTTGCTGAGATTGACCAGTAAGATGGCTCGGTAGAGAGAGCCTTTCCGCATAAGCTTGACAAACTAAGTCTGAGCTCTGGAACCCAGGAGGTAGAAGGGAAGCATCTCCACAGAGTTGTCCTCTGACCGCCACACATGCCCATGTGTATGTACACATCACACACAGAGATGAATTTTTAATCATAATTTTGTTTTATGTGTTTTACCACAGAGAGAAAAGATGGAGAATTAGAAATAAGTTTTTTTGTTTTGTTTTTTTCCCTATCCAAATGGTCAGCCAGCAAGGGCCAAGAATCCATAGCCTCCCCATCTTTTAAAATTCTGGCATATAAATCTGTTTATTATTTAATGACATTTGTCATTAAATGTTTATTATTTAATCAGCCTTTGTGCTGATAGGTAATAATCAGTGGTACCAGGATGTAAGGTCCAGCTCTCACCAATGAGATGAGAGTCACCACTCATGCTAGAATAAAAACTAAGCAGACTTTGTGCTCCTTGATCACACATAGCATACCCTTTTGTCAAAAGAAATTCCCTTCCTGAATTAAATTTCCATTGTCTATGCATTTCTTTGTGCAACACCAAAAATATTCTTTTCTATCAAAATGATCGTGATTTGACCAGACGAGACCTAGGGATCCAGCCTCACCCTCCCTCCCAGCACACCTCCTCTCCAGCCCACCTCCAGCCCTGTAGGATTACTGGCCACTCAGCCACCTGGACATGTTTCCTCTTGGCCTCCTTCCTTCCCTTCTCCCCACAGATGGCCCGGACTCCTCTGAGCTCCTAGAAGGCCAACTTCCTGGCCACTGATCACCATCTCTGTCCTCAAATGCCTAGGCAGGCGGAGAAGAGGATGCCACATAAGGAGACAGACAGACTTGCACTCAATGTCTGCAATGTCAGATCAGAACTCTCTGCTGTGGTCCAGACCTCTTACCCACCCCTCAACAGTACACACGCACAAGCACACGGATGTAGGTGCCTTGAGGGAGGGCTCCTGCCAGGCCAGGAAGCCTGGCCCTGACACCTCTGAGCCTCTCTGGCCCCAGCAGCAATGAAGCCCCAACCAGATGGCGAGCAATCAATCGAGAGTACCCACAGTTCCCTTCCTCACCCCTCAGCTCACCTCGGAGGTCCATGGCAGGTCCCAACACGGTTCAGTTCCTGGGTATCAGTAAGTCCTTAGGCACAGCCCAGACCTCAGGCACACAGCAGGACCCAACCTCAGGAGTGAAAACCCAGTCCAGAATGCCTGTGGGCGGGGAAGAACTCTGGTGGACTCTGGATTTGCCCAGGTGTGTCTCCAGGAACCAGGTGTCCTCAGTCAGTTATTGCCATGGACACAGGCAGTATCTCACCTACAACTCGGATCCCGGGGATTGTGGGTGTTTCCCCCTGCTATCTACTCTAGCCTGACTTCATTGTGATTCCCCCAAACCTGTCCCCACTGTCTTCTTCAGCTTTAGGTTCCTTCCTACTTTATCAACCCTCTCCCAAGCCCTCCTCTTCTGACTGTTTTGTTTTAGGATTTTCTCTCTCTCTCATCTTTCTCCCTAACTTCCCTCCCTCTTCTCCCATCTCTTCTCCTCCTCTCTCCCTCCCCTCCCTCTCATCTCATTCTTTCCTTCCTCTTCCTTCTCTCATGTCTATCTCTGCATCTTTTTATCTCTCTCTCTCTAGGCAGGCTGTCCTCAACATACACTGTAGAACAGTCTTGAACCGCATCTGTTTCTACTTTCCAAATGTTGTGATTATGGCCATGTAGCCCCACCCCCAAGTATGTCCAGCCCCGGATATGGAA